AGGTACGGAGCACACTCAGATGAATCTCTCGTCCGCTACAATGGTGTCGCTTGAATGCATCTGCTTTGTTCGTGTGTTTGTGTGGTTGGGAAGCGACCAGTTACTATGGGCTTAATTCACTTAAAACTTCTTGATGACAGTCCAAAGCTGATGTGTTGCAAATCAATAAAGTCATTGCAGTATGGTCTATGGTTACCAGACTGAGTTCAGCTACCTCAAATGATCTAAAAACAAACTATTGTGGTTTGGTTTCTTCGACAATCTGAATGATTACCGATTAAGTGGGTGTTTTACCTTCACTAGAATTCGGAACGAGCAGTCAAAATCACCTTTTTATTGAATAGCTGCCGATAGCGTGAAAATGTCAGCTGCAGTTAGTTTTACATCCAATGTTCCCGTTTCGGGTCGAGGTATCTACAGTCTGAGAAAGCCGTACTATCCAGCTCGTATAGGTGTGCTACTGGGATGTTAAGAGTTCTTTCACTTCAATCATCTGTGCCTTCTTCTAGATTCTAAATTCCGCAGTGAAGTTATGTGGTTGTTAAATAGGATGGCATTTGTTTTGAAATAAAAGTCCTTGTTAGATGGAGCCTTACGGAAAGTGTAGTGTGATGTACCTGACATTTTCACACACACATTACGAGGTGACCGCAATGTTTGGCTGTCTAGTTTTCATTCGCCGACTGCTTCGGCCAGTATCTGAAGGTAAATGTGTGTTGAGTGTTTCGAATTAATATATAAATGGAATAGACAGTTAAACAATTTAAAGTAGGGTAAAAAGGGAGTATTGAGTCCACACAGTTGGGGTCAAATGAGAGTCATGGTTGGTCAGCCAGGACTGAGTTAGTATCTCTTAGTGATTTTTTTGAACAAATAAGGTTGGTTGGGGCAGTTAAATGGTAACTGTCTATTTTTGTATAAGGACCTTGGAATGATGTGGTGGCCCTCGATAGGTCACGCTAGATGATTCCACCGCGCTGCTCTGGTACTTTGTATCGATCAGGTGGGTTGCAGATGCTCTTGTCGCGTAATTCGATTGTACGGCTTCAATGCCTGAGTGCAACTGTTCAGTAACTCTCTCAGAGTGACGCAGTTTGGCGACCTTCGGAGACGAAGAAATTGTATCGCCTGTCAACTGTAATATTCAGACTAAAATACATATAGCCCGATTCATGAACTTGTCTTACCTGGTTTGACAGCCAAGTTTTTCGGTAGCCATCTATCCAAGCACATTGAAGTAATCTGACTACATCAAATTAGCACATAGTATGACGTTTCTCCTTGCTAAACCCAAGTCAGGGGCTGACTTTATTTCACTTATCCAACGCTTTCACCCAACAACTGGTCTGATTGAAACGTTTGCAAACTTCACGAGAAGGCAACTTTTTGTAAATGCAAATACATGCAGCCAAGTTGGAAAATCTTAATAAAAAATTGCATATTGATTGTCACAAATGCCACCATAGCTTGCCTAAGTTTTAGTAACGTTCTTAAGATACCTAAAAAATCTGATAAAAGCAATGCGCGATCGATAGTTTTAGCCTGAATCAGGAATAATGCGTCCATTTACTTTTATACTTTATAACCGCAATTTCCCAGCCAACATCCATGTGCCAATCAATTCTCAATGATGCGGTCACTGCCTAACATCTCACAATGTACGGAAGTTTTTTTCACTTACCCGAACTTGGTGGCGAATTTGTCCACTGTGTAACTTTAAAATGAATAAAGATATATTATTGTTCTGCCATTATTACTTTTGTATGTTTAAGGCAAAAATACCTATATCCCGTGCCAGCCAAAACTCAGTGGCCCGGAAGTCCTGCACGGATTATCGTGATTTCAGATGATATCTAAGGCCTAACCGCTTTTTTCGCTCATTGGTGTTGCACAGCAACAAGTTCTTTGCACCGTTTGGTGCGAATGCCAAAGTTCACTTCTTATTCAATGGCCCGACTGCAAAGACCTCTCCATATTGTGCTACCTCTATCCGTATCCATTTCCGGAAGAGTGGCTTAGAAGCGTGTTGTGGAAATCTTTCCACATCGGACATTACGATGGTTTGGGTCAGCTACGAACTTTCAGTCCCAGTTGATACTTTTAGGTGAACGAAATTTCTTTCTGAAGCGGCCGAAATCACGCAAACACACAAACGAATCCGTAATCACCGCCAGGATATTACCAGTAGTTTATTTGGAACAGCGCATGTTTCTTTGCCCAAACAATGGTTTACAAAACATCAGACATCTACACCTCGCTTATAACACCAGTGCACTTTACTAGCCTATCGTGGTCGAGACGAATTCCTCCGCATGCACAAACGAACAAGTGAATCGCCCAAGAATTTGGTCGAGCTACAGACGCGGTACACCCCTAGTGTTAAAAATGATTTGTAAATGCCTTGAATAAATCAACTCGTTTCATTTTTCTCGCAATAAGTTACGCTGAATGAGTATATGATTTATCGTCTACAACAGACAAAAATCCTATATATGAAAAGTTTTTTGACGCTCGTTCTTTGGACGTAACATATTTTTGCGCAGCACAATCCATTCCATCTGGATTTATTGAATCTCGTGAAGCTAGTGAAAAGTAATTAGGTACTGACGACGAATACCATCGCAGTTCACCCTGTGTTTATTCGGTACTGCTCGGTAAAAAAACAACACAAGTACTAAGGGGACCTAGGTGAGAGGAATGGTTGGCCAACTTGGCTGTCTGTCAGCACTTTGACAGCATTGTGATCGACCTATCTGCACGATTACAAAAACTTAGTTTTCATCATTACCTTAAACACAGAATATAATCTTGAGAATTCATATTTTACGAGCAGCGCTACACCGGATAGCAGAGACTTGAACTAACGGCGAGACTCCCTTCTGTGTGGTTTTAAAACTGCTACTATAGATCAGCAAAAATGTTCAGTGTTGCGAGCCAGTATCTAAGGCTTTTCTCATCTATTTCGGAGTCCCGCATTCGTATCTCTGCAGCTTACTCTTTTGGCTGTTTGCCGGGCTGTGTTTCACTAATTAGTACGGCATTGCACATGGATGGTAGTCACCAATCCATTTCTTCACAAAATGAATAAGAGATTTTCAGACCCCTATACCATAGCTGGTTTCATAAACAACCCAAGTTTTGGGCACCCGAAGGTTTTTTAATCGAAATTTCATCCTGTCGATGAAGCCCACCCTATGCCAGAATGCCGAGTAACACCGTACAGTTGTTTAATCTCCGTTGAGATTCAGCAGCAGTGTGCATCCCGTAAAACTCCAGGGTGATTCGAATTCACGACCTCACAGCTGGTAGTCGAAGACCAAACCGTCCAGCCACAAGCGGCTGACCAGCAGCGGAAATTATTCACAATCACACAGGATTTGAAGCCACTCATCCTTCGATGATGGAATTCACATCGCTTGATCGTCTGTTGGCTGGCTTCTCGAACGATCAAGCGGTTATGCTAAAGGCATCTCCAAACTCAGCCTTTGGCCTTGTTTGATTAGCTTCATACCTGGTCGTCAGACGCGCTATTAAGCTCTTAGAGAATATGGTTTGACAGCTTAAATTCTGAGATAATTTAAGGACAACTCTCTGCCATCGTCGATAGAACTTCCTCATTAAGTTCGAGCACTTTGACAACCGTGTAATTCATACCTACGGGAATTCTAAACTTGCTGCATCCGTCAGATTATAAATGCTTTCTCTGTACCGTTTTCTGACCTATTCCCATTTGCTTTAAGAGAACGGAGACGCCATCCTTACCCTTCGGTATTCCACTTCGGTTATCTAGAACACTGCATTGGTTTTAAGGCGAAGCTGCCCGACAAAGAACTTTGGAACGTTGTCTTCTTCACTATTTTTCATCTTGAAATTCATTCATTTTAGAGTCTCGATGACTACTTATTAAGTTATCTTGTTGACAACTCTCCTATACTTCACTTTTGAAGGTATTCTACCATAGTGAATGCACACAAATTCATCAGGAGAGCTCTCTGTGAGCGATCATTTTATTCCTTCGCCTGTGTTGTTCCCTGATCACCAGAAAATGTCTTATTTTCAGCGGGTAGAAACTAATCGAAATTGGGGCCCATTAAAATAATCTAGTTGCATTCACAATCTGAGTTGATCACTTTTCTTTGTTGGCGTAAGAGCGCTGAAAAAATACGTTAACGATAACTTAAGAAGTGGGGATGTGGTGACAAACCAACTTGTTATTTTGTACCTTTTCGAGCCTCCCGTCCCTCGGAGGTTCCTGACATAGGGATCGCGTTGTTCAAAATAATTATGGAGTCCAACATGTAAAATGACAAATCACAGCTTCAGTAAACAAATAGCCGAGTAACTCAGTTGGCACTATTTTGACCTCCTGCCAACTTGTTCATTGTGACAGTGTGAGACGTGAAAAGAATAAATCTTATTTATAACACTTTTTTCAGACTTGCCCGTTGGCTGAGCTGCTTAATGATGCTTTCGAACTTCTTTGATCCAAATCGGTTACATTGTCAACGTTGGACAGGTATGAACAGATGTAGGCCTGAGTGAAAATGTACACAGATTTGGACAAAACATTTCCACGAACCTGCATGTAAGTCTTTATCAAACCTGTGACGTTTCAAAGGAAAAACGCAAAATTCCTTATGGTCACCAACTTTTCTTTTCTTGCAAGTCCCACGCCATGGAATGAGTCAAATTGGAGCTACATGCGGTTACTTAAATGCCCAGATTTACTTGCCAGACGATTTACCCTAATCACATTGACAAGAGGGACAGACTCACTCTTAGTAGAAAGCCCCGATTAGTGCAACATTTCTGTGGTAGAAAAGTGGCTGGTAGAACGTAAAAGATCACGGAGTCGTTCCGTGATAGCAGAGAAAATGTAGCGACCTCCAGAGCACAAATTACGTGGTACACCTTAATCAATTCTACAGTAAAATCGTTAGGTGGTTTAAGTGTAGAAGAATGAACGCTGTCACAACAGCATTTGTCTCTGTGTTACTTACCGTGCAGAACCATGTGTAGGAGAATCCAGATGGTAACAACCTGGTAGCAGGAATGGATGTTAACCATGTGTACGTGTTAGCTGATCCAGCACAGAGCTTTTGCCGTTCACACGATTGTGAACCAGACCCTTCGGGGCATTCATAAGCCAGACTGTCACATGGAACGTTCGCAGTTCACTGATTATGCATAACCCCCTGAAGGAAAACAGACAAATGAAGAATAACAAAGTTGGAGGCCAGTATAAACGATTTTTCCTCAGATCTTGGATTGCCTTCCGCAATGGATAAAAGTGCGATATTCGGTACAAATGAATCTTCAGAAATTTTATGCCCTCATGAACGACCAAAGGTAGAATAAACGTGACTATGCCTGATTTTCAATCACTGATCAACGAACAAAAACCAACCTTTCAAATACTTTTGCAAGTTTTATTAAGCAGTGTGAAGTAAGCTGGACTACAATTTTTTAAATGTGATAGGTCAATACTAGTCGAGATCTGTGCCTCTAATAAACAAAACTGTCCCATTGTAAGGTCGCTGAAAAGTCGTCGACAGCCCATGACCGGTTTCGACCTTCTTGAGGCTCATCAGGTAGGTGCGGTCCCCGAGGTTCCGTCAAACTTATGTTCTACTTGAACCAAAATTGCACGAAATTAGCGAAACACACTCATTTGCAAGCTAATTTGGAAACATCACAAACGAGCTATTCAGATTAGTCTCCAGATTAGCCTCTCAAAAAACCAAATTAGTTTGCAAATGTGTATACTTCGCTAAGACACTGTTCTTGTTCGCATTCACATCGCTCTCGTTTGACTAACCGTCCTCCTTTCCAGGTGCAATCATTCTGGTGAAGCCACACCAAAGGGGGAGAAGCACTGGACTTAAGTTTCGCTCTTCTTACAGCTCATCAGCAGTACATATCCAATAACCGTGCCTGGGTTTGAACTCCGGAGACCTGACATGCGAGGCGAACGTGTTACCACTATTCCACCAGTGAACTTGAACAATACACTCCCTGCCGAACCCACAATATGCATCAACAAAGTTGTCCAGCGGGGTTCAAGCGTCTGTGGCGCTACCTGACTGGGAATTCCTGACAAGCGGGTCAATCGGTCGTCATAACCAGGGAAGTTACTGGGTTGTCGTATCGATGATGAGTCGGACATGCTAATCATATCGCTCAAGCGCGAACGAATTCGCCCGTTCAGACGTGAGAATTCAGATGCGTCCAACGTGCGCTGGTGGAATAGTGGTAACATGTTCCTCTCGCATGTCAGGAGGAAATAAATGTAACTATACCTGAGTTTCAATCACTGATCAACCAAGGAGAACCAAACTTTCAAGTACTTTTACAACTTTCACTAAGCAGTGAACAGTTAGCTAGACTTTAAGGGTGATAGGTCAATAAAAGTCGAGATCTGTGCCTCTAATAAACAGACACTGTCCCTACCAGACTGTCGCTCCCTCGGCGTATTCCCGAGGAAAATGCTCGAGGAAATTGGACACGGTGATTTGGAGTTTCTCAAGTAATTTTTTTTGTAATTTTCGTATAAGATTACTTCTACATCCCAACTGTTTTGAATCCAGGCAGATGCCACATGATTACCAGGCAAATATATGATTAGTTTGCGCCGGTATACTGACATGTACCGGAGTGGCTGTCATTAAAAAAGACGGTCCGAGAATCGCCGTAAATTATCCGGCGCTTAAGAACTATTCGAAACCAATATCCATTAATCCGGAGCCACAGAACCCCAGAGACTCAAATGTCAGTCATCTGGTTTTGCCTGCCTGTGTCACTGGGAATATAGCTACTGATATTTCAAAGAACGGGCAACGGCTACCTGTTCTTTTTTTGTCTTTGAAATCTCCAATTCCTGGACTAGTTCAACTTTTTCTGAGTCCGTGAAAAAACGTGGTGTAGTTTGTTCGATGAAAAGAATACTTCATTTGACACCTGTATTATGAGCCCAGTAAGACGGACTAACACAATCAAGTAATTGACAGTTATTCTGTATTTTTCATTTTTTTTTAGAGTAGGAAAATTACGTCTTGCATAACTTGCTGGCGGACTCAATCAGCCAGTTGGTCGACCACAAAGGGACGATATACTGTTTTACCAAACTGTTCAGCTGTAACACTCTTCCAGCACCCAGATGTCCCGCCACCCAAATAAAACAGGGGGCTGAGATTTTGCTGGGTTTCCCAAGCCCAGACACAAGCAGTCGAGACATCGAGTTTGGGTTTGAACCACGAATGCTCGGGTCAGTAAATTCACGCCCTAACCAATGAGCCATTTCGAGTCGAGTGTTATGTTACTGAACTGAGGGTTAACCAGGGAACACAGTGAATTCCCTATAAAGGAAGGAACTCAAATGCTGACTATAGGTAGTCGGTCGGTTGCGCTGGCCAAATGAACATGTGCCTCAATGATTAGACACATCTAGATATCCCCACATATCTGCCTTTTGCTTACGATTGCTCACTTGTTTTACGCAATACTAGGCAACTGTTGCGCCAATTACCCACGCCTTAGGGTGCCAGCCGAACTGTCATAATAGTGATGCAACCAATTGGGTGAAGCAAACGGTCACAATAAAGGACCGATTTTTAGTAAAGGAGTCACTCAACTACGTGATGCGGTTGAAAGCGGTACTTCATCCGTGATTAAAAACATCATAAACGAACTACTCAGCTAGATTCCAAGTGAGTCTCCCGAGGAAAACAAATTGATTTGCAGATGAGCGTATTTTGCTAATTTTGTGGAATTTTAGTTCACGTACAACGTAAGGCTGACGGAAACTCCGGGACTGCGCCTACCTAACGAGACTCAAGAGGTGCGAAATCATGGGCTGTCGAAGGAATTTTCAGCAACCTTACGAGTAGTGTATTACGCCTGTAAATGTGTCGCGATATCTCGAACGTCGTGCCAACTTAAACATGAGATGGCCTGGTATAGCACATTCAGTTGCTTAAATACCTCATAAATGAGAGATTCAGCTGGGTTCCAGGTTTCTCCAAAAAACAAATTGATTTGCAAATGAGTGTATTTAGTTGACTGAATTTATTGTTAGCTTTACGGAACCAGAGCAACTATCTCGTGAGTCCTTTTGTTGAATCCATTTAGCAATGCGTTCAAATGAAAGCCAAACAAAAAGCTATCTTTTCACAGTGAGTAAAACATAGAGTCGGGCAAATTATACCACACCACATCACCACATCAGTAGAACGGAAAAATACCTAGAAATAATGCCAGTATCGATTCGCGACAGTAGCTGACGGCTCCAATGAGAGTCCGTTTCCCCGGCATTAGCCAAAATTTTCAGAATCTATCTTACACTACCGGATGTCGGAATTGTTTCAGCATTACTGGAGCTCCATAATAGCGGCCAAAGCTTCATTTCTATAAAACGTACTGAAGACGCTGCATCATGTTAAGTGGTCCCGAGACGTTTTTATTGGAGGGTCAATCAACCGAAATTTTATTGCTCTACAGGCCAGAAGAGACTATCTGTTTACATTCTCTTCTAATCCCAGTGATGACTCTTGCAGGTCGAGCTTTTATTCATAGCATTAGTTGGGATAATTTGGTCTCCATATTATATTCTGCAGTACTGCAGTACATTCTGAAAAGGCGAAATGTCGTATTGGGATATGTTTGTGCTCGGATCGTGGACTAATCAGCTGTTGACTCGCTGGGACAGTCAGCTGGCTAACAGGGCTCACTCGGAGAATTTCCCTACCTGATGGGCCCAGTGGACAATCCCTAAATGGAAGCTCTCTTAACAGTCACGGTTGGAGCGTCCGCTTCGATCAACCCCGCGTGATGAATTCATAAATTTGTTTCAGTTTATGTACATCAAGACCTAACGTGTACGTAATAACACACCTATGATTTTCTTAAGCACACAGTTTGCTGATGGTTTCATTGTGTGCTGCAGTACCAGAATTGAGTCACTGAGCTGACGTGTGATTAAGTGCCTCAATATACTCAGAATCATGCTCTTCAAACTGGTGGTGTTTGATAAAGTCCAAGATCAATACAACCAGATTCACGATAGAAGAGTAATCGAAATTTTCTCTGCTATACTGAGCTTGCTGATGTAGGTTGTACTACGTAAACACAGATTTTATACTGGATTATTCCATGCTCCGGATATGTCTCCTTTCCGCCCAACCAATACGAAACATTTGATTCGTTTCCTTTCAACTTGTCATCCTATGTATGCTATTAACAGACGCCACCTGTTGCAGTGTCATGAGTTACTCCGCGAACTAATCTCCTTCCTGATATATGACAGAAGTTGAAAGGTACTCAACATGCCACTAGATTCATCAGTTGTCACGTTTCCATTTAAAAGTACCAGGAAAAAAAAAACAAACTTGTGGCTAGTAAGTCCACTAATTCACGTGAATGATCAAGTCAGTTTGGCATTTTTATTTAAGTACTATTATGTAGTCTAAGTGAAAAAACGACTGCGTCCTGTGCAGCACAGAATCCCCATGGAGATTACATTGGACAGAAGTGAAATTAAACGACGAAGTATCCAAACCCAACATGTAGACCGTAGCTATCTGTAATTATTCGCTAGGTAAATGATCGTCTTGAATCTCTGCCACAGTTTACCTGTCACCTACATTCTGACAAGTGATACAGTCAGTCATTTGTCTTTCTAGCCCACCGGTAGTCTTACTGTTGAATGAGAATATCTATTATAATGCAATGACCACAATAGCTTATGTAATATTCCAGGCAGATTCTACGTCCAAAATCGAAATTATCGTTTTCAACAAACCATATATTATACGGAAGGTAAAAGAGTTTTCAGATCTGGAACAAAAAATCGTAGGAACGGGTTTCCTTTTGTTGCAGAACAGTTTTTTATCGTAAATGCCTTTTTGAGGTTCAAACTAGTCTCAGTAGCTTAAAATTACTCAGTTACGTTCATGAAACGATAAAATAAGGAAAGCGAGTTGCAGCCACAAAAAAAACCACAAGTTTCAGGTCTTTCCCATTTGAATGTATTTCGCCAACTTGAAATCATATATTTTCTTACACAAACACTGAATTCACTGATGATTTCACTTACTGCTCAGAAGTACTTAATCACTCTACAAGAATAAACCAGTTCAACGAATGCTTTGCATTTCGCTCAAAGGTCTGGCTTACTTGCCTGCGCATAGACTAGTTTCAA